CCCCCACCCCCTCCCCTTGGACGTCCGCCACCCGGAGAGCTGCAACCACCAACTGACCCTAGCGACCCCGTGATAAGATGGGGACCCTTACGTCGTCGTTTGCAGGATGGTGATGACGACGATGATGGTGCCCTTCCGTCGCCGAACTGGGGGAGACCGCACCGTTTCATGAGACCAGCGGTCAGCGCACTCACCGTCACAACGGCACGCATTCTGCAGACATACGCGCAGCGCAGTCTGCACACGTGGGTATTATGTGTGTCATGTGTGTTCCTGCAGATGCGTGAGCGTCGCGAGCGATCTTCTCTGGAGGACGAGGCGAGGACCCTCCCGTCCAATATTCCACTCGGTTTCACTGGAGGACGGCTAGATTAGGCCACTGGCAGGCGAACCACGGGTGTCTCCACGCCGCGTTAGTGCCAGCGGACCGGTTGCTTTGCTTAATTCTGAAAACAAGTCGATCTGTGTACGTGGCTGGCTGGTGCATGGGCGGGCCAGAGGCTGCATGAGTGTTCCAGGTGCGTGCCAGTCTAGATCCTCCCCACGCACGAGACGCGGAAGTGATGTCAACTTGCGCCGCCTTTGAGAGATCGCAATCTAAGAAATGCACTGCATCCGACTCGTTCGGATGCCAATGCGAACGAAACCGTGGTGTTGATGAGATGGGGAGCGTGTGTGCGCGAGGCTCATCGACGGCGACGGTCACCGTCGTCGCTCCCGAGCACCCCCTCACCTCTCTAAGAGCAGGACCGCTCCGCCACAACTACAGAAAGGCAAGCCAGACGAGGAGACGGCGGATGCATTGCATGCTGCCCCATTGCAATTGCTATTGTCGTGATGATTGACGACCGACCATTCACAGGTGACGAAAATGAAGCCGAAAGAAATCGACACCGGGCCGCGGTCGCGGCGAAACCTCAAGCCCTCATTCAAGAGCCGTAAGGCCAGCTAGCGACACATGACACTTCGCCATTCCTTTCATTGCTGCTGGTTGCCTGTTGCACTGCTGCAGGGGCGTCGAAGGACAGCAACCGGGGGTCAGGTGCAGGGCAGCGGGCCATCAAGGCCGACACCGAGTACGACGAGCCATCCGGCAGCGCCGCAGACGACTGCGGCCCCTCGCAAACAGATTGACCTGCAGACGGAAAGACACAGTTCTGTGCGTGTGTCTGTGGTGAGGGAGCCATCCGCCGTCTGTGTTGGCTGTGTTCGTGGGGTTTTGCTCAAGAGCATACTTGTCTGGTTCTTTGCTTTCGAGGCACCGTGTGTACCTGTGTGTCTCGGTGTGTCGGCGGGTTCATCGGCTGACGTACGGGCGTGGACCGCTTTCTGCTTAATTGAGTGACAAACCCAACCAACCTCCGTGAACGATCGAATGAACGCATGCAGTGACATGACATGCATGGCATGATGATCGAATGAACGTGTTCTTCAGTCTGTCTGCGTCCGCAGACATCACACATCACATGACATGACACCAAGCCCTCCGTCTCTTTCCCTGTTTCTTTCCTTCTCTGTGTGCCGACGACAGGCACGGGAGGGACCCATTGCGATGCGCTCGCTGCCTGCGTGCATTTCTCTCTATCTCTAGCTATCGCCCGGCTAACAAATCCATAGGCCACATCGACTCGTCGTGACAAATCGGACATACCCACCACCACCATCGGTCGAGAGAAAGGAAGAGACAGCAGGGAGAGACAGAGGAGACAGCAGGGAGAGACAGAGAGAGAGAGAGAGAGGGAGAGAGGGTGAGGGGTCGACAGCACACCACCACACTCACTCAATAATGAAGTACGTACTGACGAATTTCAGTCTATCTGTCTGTTTCCTGATCTTGATGGTGTGTGTCCAATTAGGAAGGCCTCACCCCTCTAGAATACACGACAACCACGGACAAACAAACCGACGGACGGACGGACATCCGACACATGCATTCGCTCAGTGGCATGCAGGCACACACACACAGGTACAGGTATGAAGAGCAAACTCAACACCCCCACCCCCACCCACCCTCCCTCCCTCCCTCCCGCGTCACGCAAACACGCCCCACACAGACACGCATCATGAGAAATATAAAGCCACAGAGATCACGACATCCATCAGAAAGCCTCCCTCCCTCCCTCTCTCCCTCCCTCCCTCCATGTATGCAGATCTCTCGCAGTCACGAGATGCACACTCACACAACAAACAACATACACGCCCGCACAGCTTAGTCAGCCACGTTGATTGATGAAACACGGCCGCCCTCCTCCTTGTCTCCCACACAACAGACAGACAGACAGCATGCGACCCAATAAACTGGAGATCGAGGGGCGACCGACACGTCAGGTGACATCACCTCACATCACAACATCACGCCATCATCAATCACATGTCACATGAAACTCAATCAACTCGCCGTCATGCAAAAATCGCATCGTTTGCAGCTGAGGCAGCAAGGTAAGCAGGCAGGCAGTCAGTGTGACTTTGTTTCATTCAGTCGGAAAACCGAGCCGTCGAGAGCTCTTCTTGCGGACAGACAGACAGACGTACACATCCACACGAACACGGGCACACCTCACCCCATCCTCCCCCTCCCCCCTCTCTCCATATATCGATAAACCCACAGAAATCATGGTGGAAGGTGCATTATGCGACAGTGATAAATGGTCGTGTGTGTGGTGTGATCTGGTCTGGTGCGGTGGCAGGGAAAAGACAGGCAAAGGGGCAGGCAGGCCAGAAAAAGGGTGGGCGGGTTTCGTCGATCTTCACGCGGGGAAACACGACAACAGACAGAGAGAGAGACAGACAGACAGAGAGAGAGGCCAGGCAGCCGGTCAGTCAGTCAATGTACACACATTCACAAGAGACAAGGAGAGGAGAAAAGCGAAACTGAGTGAGTGGACCTCATGTCGGCCGTGTTGTCGTCATCGCCCACATCGGCTTAAGATTTGCAGGCACCAGTCGACAGGTGCCTTTCAACCTCATGCCGGGGTGGGCCATGGCGACAGCACGACACACATCACGTCACGTCACGTCACGTCAGTCCATCGCAAGTGGTCGATCGATCAATCAATCCATCAATCAGCGTTAGGCATCGCTCCCACGTCTGCATCCCATGCACACACACACATACACACGGCATGCCGTCGCGTCATTCGAGACGGCACGTGCGAAAAAATAGCCAGGCGGCGAGCTGAGTTGCACGAACAGAGATGACGAACATCCATCCACACACACATTACATACATACATGAGCAGAGCAGATCTCTCGTTTCCTTCCCGCCCTGCAGGCCCCACTCCCACTCACTGTCTGTCTGATGTATGTATGGGTCTTCCTTCCTCTTCTCTGTGAGAAGGCTATCTGTCTGATACGCTCTCTCTCACTCTCAGCACCCTCACTGACAGCCAGACACACAGAAAGATACCAATCTCCTTCCTCTCGACTGTGGTGGTTTCTTGTGTGCCACTGGTTGTGCGTTGGCGTTCGTGAGAGAGGGCAGTGACAGTTGCCGCCTGCAGTGGATCAACTGCAGGCAACAAGCTGCCACCGGCCGCACCCACGCCGACACACACACACACAACACAGACACGCGCACCCACAGATACAACGAATGGTACACAAAACCCTCTCGAGGGAAGGGAACCGAACACCAATTACTCACAAGAAGAGGCTGATGACACCGGTCGCTGGCTCAACACGACACACCAGCCCTCTAGCCCTCTCTCCCCTTCCCTCTCTCTACCTCTCTCTCTCTCTCTCTCTTTCAACATGCAAGCAACAACAAGCACATCTCGTCACATGATCACCTGTACTCGTCCTGCAGCAGCTCGTCCTCCTCGTCGAAGCCCCCCTCCTCCACCCGCTGAAACACCACAGGCGCGCTCCGCCCCTCGCTCATGATGATCGCCGGCAGCACAGCCGCGCCACCCTTGTCCACCGACGCCACCTCGAGCTCCATGTCCACCGGCGGCATGTACACCGCGCGGAAGCCCATCATCATGTCCTCGTGGCCATGGTGGCCGGGGTGGCCGCTGCCGTTGGCACCGTTCGAGCAGAATGGTGTGGGCGGGGGTGGGATGAAGGAGAGGTTGCTGGTGGTCGTGCTGTCGGTGAAGGGCGTCACGGGCGGCGACTGCACGGACCGAGCGGTGGCCGTGGTGCTCGTCGACGCCGGGCTGGCCAGCGCCAGACCGACCGTCTTGTCGTCATCACTAGGGGCACCACTTCTGTTGTCCCGCTGGGCACGCAGCCTCTCCGCGTGGCTCGCACGGGGCGGCGAGGAGGCCGGCGGGAGGGCCCCCGCGCCCGTCCAGCCGTCCATCTCCGAGCGCCTCCTGAGCGGCAGCGAGAGGCCGGTGGGTGCTGAAGTGGTCTTGGCGGTGGATGGGGGAGGGGGGACGGCCTGAGTCTGGGGCTCACGCCGCTTGTGCGTGTCTGCTTGGTCGGTCGTGGTGGAGAGGGCCTGGTAGCTGAGCGAGAGGAGGCGCTTGCGGGCGGAGAGGGGGACGGGTGATGAGGGGAGGGGAGGGAAACGGGTGATCCTAAACACACAGACAGACAGCACATGAATGGATGGATGGATGGATGAATCCTCCATGTCATCCTGATATTGTGTGTCTCCGTCTGTGCGTGGGCTTGTTACCAGGGGTGTTGCAGCGCCTCCTCTGCTGTGAGGCGCTCGTCGGGGTTGGGAGTCAGCAGACACGACAACAGATCCACAAACCTGGTAGACACACATACATACGTGGGTCGTGGGTCGCCCAGGACGTGTCTGTCCATGAGGTGCAGCCTCACTGGTCTGCGGGAGTGTCTGCTTCGATGTCAGGTGTCTCCAGCAGGAAGGGCAGCAGCGGTGGCGACGACGCGCACAACGAGTAGGCCGTGGGCGGCCTGCGGTGCCGCTGCAGCACCTTGTCCAGCAACGCCCGGATGCCGTGCTCCATCAGAAAACTGTTTAACAAGCACGCAATGCAATGCAACCACACAATCCATTTGTGTGTGTTGTCTTGTCCATCCCGCCCCTCCCCTCCTCTCCGTCTGTCTGTCTGTTACCTGAAAGTCTTGTCGTGCTCCGTCGCCCTTTTCCAGGGGATGAATCCGATAGAGATGGCGAGGAGCACCACCCCGCACGCCCACACATCAGTGGGGCTCCCGCGGTACGCCCCACCCCCCAGCATCTCCGGCGCCCTGTAGGCCGACTTGCCCACCAGACCCCTCACGCGACGCTCCTCACCCTCGCCGTCCAGGCGCCATGTGGCGTCACCGAAGTCGATGAGCTTGAGCCGGCCCTCTGTGTCGAGCACCAGGTTCTCGAGCGAGATGTCTCGGTGGATGACGCCGGATTGGTGGAGGAAGGTGGCCCCTGCGAAGAGGTCGTGCGCGTATGTGCGGCAGACGTGCTCGGGGGGGAAGGACAGGGGAGGGGGTGGGGGAGGGGG